ATCTGGGAACAATTGACGATTAAAACAGTGAAAAGGCAGCCATGTTTATTCTCAGCTCTTCTGTTGCTTTAGATTAGTTTAATGTTAAAATTGTATTCTCTCCCAAAAGAAATAGATTTCAACAGAAGAAGACAGGATTCTGACTCAACCCAGCTGGTGGGACTTTTAATGGTAATTTCCACTTCAGTTCCTTGAAAGGAAAATGCAGAGAAGGGGAGACCTAACCTACAAAAAACAACACAACTTCTTTTGGAAAACCATATTGGTTAGTGATGTTTACGGTATGCTCTGCTCCGTCAATCAGTACGTGTGAAACGAAGGGTCCTGCATGTTTGCTGTATTCCAGACTGAACTGCTAGTCGTCCCTTCATTGTAATGTCAACAAAAGCATGTGCAGAGGCTTTAGAAATGCCTACAAGGCAACATCTAGCCAACAACAGGGCTAGAGATGTGGGTGTGTAGATTTATTATTTTTAAGGGAACTTGGACACACTCTGACTTCTGTGGCAGAAGAGGCTGACACAAAATTACTGGAAAGCTACTTGGCAAGTGTTTAAGAAATCTTTAAAATCCTCCTTCGGCCACACTATTTCCTTCTAAAGAAACAATCTACACAGGAAAGGAAATGCTCGGAGACTTCCCCGCAGCTTCACTTGCCAAACTGAAATGTTGCAAACAACTTCGAAGGAAAAGCTAGAGACGGCCAGTCAAGGAAGGCCCACTGCTCCACTCGGCGCAGCGCCTCCCAAGCGGCCCACGCAGCCCCAGACCACGAAGCAACGTGGGAAACGCTTCTAACAAGCACGAGGGGAAGCAGGATGTGAAGGTACCTCTGCTGCTATTACAAGGATCTAAAAAAGGACCGGGGGCCAGAAGGAAACGGGAAAAAGTGAAAGCGGCTGGCAGAAACGATCTGGTAGCGAGGTTGTGTGGATTCTTCCTCCAACACCCCTTTCCCATTTGTGTTTAAAATATGAGGGGAGAAGGGGAAGCAGGCATGTTGCTCGGAGACATTATAAACATTATTACAGATACACCGCCTGCTGTCCTAAACCTGACAGGGGCTGATGATGTTCAATCAAGCACAGAAAGCTTTAACCCAATACCCAGGTCCATCAAAGCCTCTGAAATGTGATGAGACCAAGCTGCCTGGCACCGGCCACCCTGACTCCCTCCCGTTTCATTTCCCTAGCAGGGTGGGGAAGGAATACATCTATGAAGTAGACATTGTATGACTGAGGGCAGCAGTCTGCTCAGGACCAGCTGAGCTTCCAAGCAAGGAGCTGTCCAGATTTATTGTGCCATCTCTTCATTTTTAAGTAATTTGGGTACAAAAAAAATTGCAAAGACAAACAAAAGATCTGTAGGCTGGACGGGGCCTGCTGGCTGCTGAAGGAATACTTTAAAGACCCTAAATTAGGGGACGTGTTGACCTCTGGGGTCACGTGGCCATCAAGAGGATTCCATCGGAGGACGTGTGTGTGTGTGTGTGTGTGTGTGTATGATGGGGAGGGACTCGAGGAACTCGGACTGCCTTCCACGCCACCTGAGAAGACAGCTGACACCTGCATGAGGCCCCCAAACGGTGCCGTCCCCCTAACTCACTCTCTCATGCCTGCCTCACGACAACCCTGAGGGGCGTCTCATTCCCTTCCCTTCCGCAGATGGGTCATCGGAGGCTCTGAGGTCCTTGCACAACGAGAATGATCAACCCCTTTTTGTCTTCCTCAGGCCAGTGGCTTAGACAGAGACACACTTACTATGGGTGACAAAGCGGCTTTCCAGACATGTCCTCAGGCCTGCTGTGGAAACACGGGTTCCTGGTGACTCTGGGGCTTGTGTGATTCACACTCCGCCACTGCCACGCTGTGTCAGAGGCCAGTCCTGACCACTGCCCACCTCACCGCCACGCTGTGTCAGAGGCCAGTCCTGACCACTGCCCACCTCACCGCCACGCTGTGTCAGAGGCCAGTCCTGACCACTGCCCACCTCACCGCCACGCTGTGTCAGAGGCCAGTCCTGACCACTGCCCACCTCACCGCCACGCTGTGTCAGAGGCCAGTCCTGACCACTGCCCACCTCACCGCCACGCTGTGTCAGAGGCCAGTCCTGACCACTGCCCACCTCACCGCCACGCTGTGTCAGAGGCCAGTCCTGACCACTGCCCACCTCACCGCCACGCTGTGTCAGAGGCCAGTCCTGACCACTGCCCACCTCACCGCCACGCTGTGTCAGAGGCCAGTCCTGACCACTGCCCACCTCACCGCCACGCTGTGCTTTTAGATGAGCCAATGGGCCCACACTGAGAGCGCCTCTCTATGTGGATCAAGCCTGTGGCCTGTGTGCCTGGCAGGTGAACTAACTGCTCAGATGACTTGTGCTTTCAAAGGTGCATTGACCATTAATGTCAGTGGAGCCCCGCCTGACAACACCTCTCTAAAACCTAGTGTGAACCTGTGTGGACTCAAGAGCTGTTGGCACTAAAAATCCACGTGTAAGCCACAGGAGCAGAAGAGCTAGGTTACCTGGCCACGAAGCTGGCAGTCTTGTCCACGATATTCCTGACCTCTGGAGGCGGGTAAATGATCCCCACCACGGGCTTGGAAGGGGTGGAGTCCTCCTTTGAAGACGCATCCTCTTCTGTGGGCTGTGAGAAAAGAAAAGAAAAGAAAGTCTTGAAGTTCCTGGTTTGGGGCTGGACATACCTGAGCACCAGGCTCTCCCTCGGACTTCCTTCGGGTCAGAACCCTCTGCTCCAGAAGAGGGGTCCTTTACCTGCACTGTGTTTGTGAGGGACCCTCCTGGGGAATCAGTTAAAGCAGCTGCAGCTTTTCTGGCTCCACCAGCTAGACCAGCGGTCGCCAACCTTTCGGATCTCGCGGACCACCGGTTGGCGACTGCTGAGCTAGACTGTGTCCATGACACCAGGGGTCTGCATTTCTACTAGGTGCCCAGGTGACTCACATGCAGGTCTCAGACCACATACTGAGAAGCCACGTTCCAGAATCCAGAGCATGGGTCCATGTTCCAGAGCAAGCGATGTGCCTGGCATGGGATACTTAGTATTTAGTGACTGTTTGCTGAATAAAGAAAAAGGGAACTCCTTCGGGGCAGCTCCTTCTGCCTTACAGCCTTTTCTCTCTGCATCCACTCCACAGTCTTAACGACCAGTCAACGCTCAAATGTGCTGTGAAACTGCACTGGACATTCAGCATTAACTCCCCGTCAGTTCCGAGTCTTTCCTCGCTGGTCTTTCTTAGTAAACGAAGGGTCAAGTCTCATCTCAGAAAAATAAAGTCTCTCCCCTGCCCTCATGTTCCTTCCTCCTCCTGCCTTCTCCCCCAACCCTCTTCCTCCGCTAAACATCCTGAGTTCTCTCAGCCTTAGTTCCCACTTCCTCACCCCCACTTGGTCCCCATCCATTTCAAGTGTTTTTGCCAGCTGCCTATGGCCAAGTGCAGCGGCCGTCTGGCCATCTGACCAATGCCCACTCCTTCACAAAGCTCTCCGCCCAACTCCCAGGCCCCATTCTCACCCGTCTTCCCTTCTTGCTCACCGTGCCCCCCAAGAAACCTTCCAGGTTTCTGTTTCACCTCCTGCTCTATCATGTTGGGCACCCCCAAACTCCTGTTCTCGGTTCTCTTCCGTCTTCACTCCGTCCTCAGGCACCCACAGCCACCTCCAGCCTGAACAATCCCACCCACATGGATGCCCCGATCACTCTGCGAGCCAGAGCTTCAGATCGATTGATTCCGGGGCACTTCTGTCATCTCTGACCGCTTTCCTCGTGAATGGCCAGACAGGCACCTGGTCAACCAGGCCAGAAACGTGGTCCTCCTCCTCCTCCTCCTCCTCCCTCAGCCTCCAAATTCAGTGACGACAGAGGAGGTGCCATACACTTTTCTAAGCACTTTACATACATTAACTTGTATCACCCTTACGAGAGCCCTATGAGGTAGGTAACTTGATTATCCCCATTTCACAGATGAGAAAAACTGAGGTCTAGCGCGCTTAACTGGCCCTTTGAGCAATACACACTTGTGGAATATTCACGGGTACCTGGCTCCTTACTAGCTTACAAGCTGGCTCTCCAAGGCAGCTGCTGTGCCTCACCCATCCCAGTAACGTGGGACCCAGGCTCCGTGTCTGCCTTGGACTGAGTACTGAGTGGATGCAGGAGAATTAACATTCAAAGCTGTGACCCTGCAGGCTGGGAAATTAGAAATTACTGGGCAAATTACTGGGGGCCGGTGGGCCCAATTGCCACAGCAGATGCACGGGATCGGTGTTTTTCCCAAACTTCAATGAGTCACCTTTGGGATCTTGTTAAAAATGCAGATTTCTATTAGAGGAGCTGGGGTGTATTTCTTTCTTTTTTTGTTTACACACATTTTAATTTTTTTAATTTAGTGTTTCAATTACAGTCTGCATTCAATATTATTTTGTATTAGTTTCGGGTGTATAGCATAGCGGCTACATAGCGGCTAGATACTCATATATTTTACAAAGTGCCCCCGCCCCATATTTCCACCTGGCACCATACATAGTTATTACAATATCACTGACTATATTCCCTATGCTGTGCTTTACAGAGTCTCGCATTTCTAATAAACTCCCAGCGGACGCTGAAGCTGCCGGTCCGCGGACCTCACTTTGAGAACCATGGGTCTAGCGCGCTGCCTCCTGGGACTTGTAGTCCCTCCACGGCCTCCTAAGCGGCCGCTACTTCCAGCAAAAGTGAGGCGCGCCTAGGCCTAGGCCCGGGCTGCCGGTCCCGGAGAGGGGGGCGCGATACCTGTTTGGGCTCGGTGGCCACGGGAGGCGGCGGAGGCACCGCCTGCACGGGTCCCGCCGGCATAACTGCGACGCTCAGGGCTGCCAGGCCGCCTCGGTGTGGGTGAGCGGTGCGGCCTCAGAGCGGTTCCCCCGCAGCGGCGCTACCACAAGTCCGCAAGATGGCGGCAGCCGAGCGAGCCGTCACCCGGGAGGCCAGGCTGACGCACTTCCGGGCCCGCCCCTTTCCTTGACGTCATTTCCTGCCGCCCCCACCGGAGTGGCGCGTGCCCGACGCCGTTGCCATGGCAGCGGTCGGGGCGCCGGGTTAGGGTTGGCTGGGGTTCCCCAGAGCTGCGGGCGCGCCGGGGGCAGTTCCATGAGCCGATCCGACGCAGGGGCCGAGGCTGCGACACCAGAGACCGGTAAGAAGTTCTACATCACCCGCCGGACGCCCCCCGCACGCACCCCACGGCCCTCGCCCCCCTCTCCTCTACTCCAAGCCGGTCCCTCGCTCTCTCCAACCCCGCCTTCCTAGTCCCCAGCTCCCTCCCATCGGCCTCTCACTTTGGAGAGCCCCTCCCCTCAATCCTGCCTCCTCAAAGCCCCCCTTCTTACCCCCTCAGCCCCCTCTTTCGCTTCAGACCCACCTCCTCTACAACCCCTTCCCGAGTCCCAGGCTCTAAGGACCGCTGGACCCTTTCCCCACGGGCCTGCCTTGTGTAGGTTCCACCCCCTGCCTCCCATCGTCCCGCCTGCAAGCCCCGGGGGCCATCTCAAGTAGGGGCTGCCGCTTTTCTTTTATTTTTCATTTGTCTTTATTGTTGAAAGCATTACAGATGTCCCCTTTGTCCCCGCCCCTCACCATGGGACTGCTTCTTTGGGCTCCACCCCTCACTCCCACAGGTGATTCCCTGCAGGCTACTCTCTTGCTTCCCAGGTCCCCCAGGAACCCCTGCGATCCTCCCCTCCCTGCCTGTCCCCTCTCCTGCCCAACCCCCGAATGCGGAAGGCTCTAAGCGCTTGCCTGGACTTTGGCTTCCTCATCTGTGAAATGGGGCCGTGATAGGAAGGGGTGCCTTCTCGAGTCTTCCCTTACACACCCCCCATAACTAGTTCATGTCGGTGTCATTCATGTAGAATACTAACGATTGCTGGGATTTCTTGAACATGACCACGAGCCAGACTCTGTGCCAAACATCACCGGCATTCCGTCACTTATTATAGCAACTTATGGGGTGGAGTGGGCACCCCAACCCAGGCCACTCTTGGTCCTCTCCTCGAGCAGTTACTTATGCCTTGTCGTCACTCCACGTCTTCGCTATCCCCAGGGATCCAGGCGATTAGCATTCCCGAGTCAGAGGCTAAAGACCCGTCACAGACTTGGTTTGAGAGTTTCGAAAGGTGACCTCGGATCTCGGTGGGAGGCAGGCATGATCTTTACCTGAGACCTAGGACTCAGAGGGGGAAGGGGCCTGAATGTGGAATGGGAGTGGAGGGAAGGTTCCCTCTGGTGTCTGGGGGTCAGACGTCCACCTGGAAGCTGACCCTCCTGCCTCAGGGCAGCGTTGACTCAGAAATGGGAAAGCCCGTGTCGAATGCTCCTTCCCCCGACACGTACCTACCGTGGTTTCAAACCACGCTCACATCTGCCCATCTCCCTTGTTGCTAGTGATCCACACGGGTACGCGGAGCTGTTTTTCCTTGTTCTTTGACATTTGTGCTGCTTATCAGAATTGGCATCTAATAAGAGTTGGTATCTCGGCACGCTCCCGAATTCCAGGGCCTCCTCCCAGCGTGGCGTCGCTGACTCGCTTATGTCCTCCCTTTTCAGGAAGGAAAACCAGGATGTGTGTCTGTTTGTTTTTTTTCTCTGTTTGTTTCTGCCTCGTTCTTTGGGGACATACAATCCCCACTTACAGGGTGGGGAAGGGCCAGGGCTCAGCATCCATGGGGCTGCCCAGCTCTGAGCAGAGCGCTGGCTCTGACAGCACCTGCTGGGGGCACGCGAGGAGCCACGGGAGGGGCGAGAACAGTGTCGCTTGCCCACCTTCTGAGTCGCGGGCCATGAACACAGTTCACCCAGATCACGGGTCCACAGGCTCCGAAGATGGACAAGCAGCGTTCTGTGTGGGCCGCAGGAACAGGGGAGATGTAGCCGGCAGACAGCTGCCCCAGACAAGGACGGCCTTTGCTGTTGTTGCGCTAACAATGTAATCACAATAGTCATAACTACTATTGATGGGGAACTTTTATTGGTGTCTTATCTGCACCAAGCGCTTTACTTGTAGACACCTGTAAAGGCCTCCGAGGGTCTGGGCCCAGGAGCCTCTGGGCAGGTAGGGGCCTGAGGAAGGTTCCTGTAGCAGCAGCCACGTGGCTCTGGCCAATGGGGCTCCTCTCTGCCCATCCCAGGAGCCCTGAGGATGGCTCACCTGCTGGGCAGCCAGGCCTGCATGGACAGCCTGCGCAAGGACCTCACCGACCTGCAGGGCACCATCGTAGACGTCTTTTCCCGAGCTGGACCTGTGCGCTTTCCCTCCTGGAAGTTTCCGGACCATGTGGCTTGCGACCTGGACATGGTGGCCCTGCTAGAGCACTATGACCACGTGCCGGGGGACCCGGAGTTCACACAGCTGTCTCACGCCGTGCTCTTGGAGCTGGTCATTGACAGGTGAGGGCCCTGACCAACCTGGTGTTCTTGGGGTGCTGATACCCGCCCCTTAAGCCAGTAGCAGCCATGGGATCCCCCTGGTAGCAACGTTGGTAGCAACAATCACCTCTGAGTACCGTGGGGGGCCAGGTCAGCTCAGGGCCCTCACGGTGGTCCCACCTGTGCCGTGGGCTGTGCTGTCCTCTCCCACCCGCCCTCAGGGAGTTGCTGGCTGCCCTGCTGGGCTCTGTGGCTCCCGGCTCTGACCACGGCCTCTCTGGCTGCTTCCAGCTGCCTCCTCGGGGTTTCTGTGCGTCGGGGACACCCCGGCTGCCGTTCAGAGTTCCTATCCAGCACCTGTGGGCTGTGCTGTTCCCACTTGTGGGCCGTGTCATGGGGCCAGACATGGGTGTGTTCTTCCAGACCCTGGCCCTGCTGGGAAGAGGCCAGTGGATTCCTCCACACACACACACGCCCCCGACACTTCGATGCTATTACTAACATTAACGTGGTCCTTAGCTTTCCCTTCCTGTTCCCCCTGCTCCGAAACCTTGCACATTAATGAAGTCATGGGGGCCCATCAAGCAGGGACCCCAGCAGCTGGGGGATGGCCGGCCTGGGACCAAGAAGCCAGGGTACCACCCAGAGGCCTGGGGGAGCCCTTGGTGTCCGAGCACCATCTGGAGCCCGTGAGGGGCTGATGTGTAAGCACAGAGCACCCCTTCTGTGCCCTCTTCCAGGACTGCTCTGCCCACTCCTCGCTGGTCTGCTCAGCTCCCATCATCCATCCAGGTCCCGTGTACGCGTCCCCCGCTGTGACGCTGCTGTGGACAGACATGTCTTCCCACCCCATTCCTCCTCCCTCTGCCCACCTCCTGCTGAGTTAGCCAGAGCCTCCCTGGCTTCCACGTGCCTGTGCGGAACTCCTGGCAGAGGCTGCTGGGTCTGAGAGCGAGAGCAGGCTGGGGGCCCTGGGGGAAGGGCAAGGTCACCGGCTCAGGGTATAGCATGGGGAGGTGCTCAGCTCATGTCGAGGGGGTGATGGCTAAGGATGAAGGTCACGCAGTTCGCACAGAAGTATCCCTCGGAGAGGGGCTCCTCCCCGGCTAAGCAGACAGATCGCTGTCAGGCCCTGCCATCTCCTCTTTCCGAGTGCGTTCCCACCCCCAGTGCTGCTCACCCGTGCAGCGGGCACACTGACCCCATTCCCAGGAGGACACCTCGGCCCAGAGAGAAGCAGGGCCTGGAGACAGTTGGCACCCCCTCCCCTGGCCCTCTCTGCCCAGGCCCAGGGGGTTTGGGGTGACCCCCCTGTGCCTGCAGCAGCAGAAGGTCACTTACCTGCCTGGTGTGTTTGGTAAAATAGCTTGGTTCCCAGGCAAATACAAACACCCCCCCAACACCCGTCTTCCTTAAAGTAAGCCCGTGACTAATCTTGACCTCAGAGGTCAGGACAGAGACCTAGATCTCTTCACTCCAAGTCTCCATGGTCACAGGAGCAGCTTGCCCTTCTGAGCCCCCCCCCCAACCCTCCCCCCACACACACTAGAATCAGGGAATTGCAGGGCACCTGGCCCTGCATGCTCATGCTCACCGGCGGCTGTGGGCAAGCTCCTCCCGCTCAGGTCTCAGCTGTGTCTCCTGTAAGCTGAAGGCTCTGCACCCTGTGCCCTGTGATATGAGGCAGCCGCTTGCCCAGCGTCTCTGAGCCTCAGGATGCCACTGAGGCAAGGCCCAGCCCCCAGAGCTTCCTCCCAGAGCAACACGGGCAGAGGGCCGGGCAGAGTGCTGCCCCAAGGAGGCCCCCAAGCTCGGCTCTCAGGGAGGGCTTCCTGGAGGAGGTGGCACTTGGGTTGGGTTTGCAGCTGGCCTGGCAGAACATGTTCTGAGATGCGCCAGGCCCTGATGCCTGGGCCAGTTCCCCAGAGCCAGAGGCTGCCGACTGTATGGCAAGAGGGCGCACTGGCATTGGGCGCTGCCCCCGCTGACCCTGCTGTCCCTGCCCACAGGCTCCTGCTGCTGCTTCAGAGCTGTGCCAGCTACTTGGAGACCCTCAGTTCGGAGCAGACAGTGCCCCCTGCCAGGGCTGTGGGGCCCTGCATGTCCGTGGGGCTCACGGTACGGTGCTTCTGGAACAGCCTGCTGAAGCTGGGCATGCTCTACCAGCAGATGCTCCCCCAGGTGGGTCAGCTACCCCCATTCCCCAACCGTGGTCACCCTCACACCAGCCCACCTGCCCCAGCTTCCTGGCCTGGCACACCGCACATGCCCCGTGCCCACTCCTGGCTCCACCCTGCTGAGGGCGAGTGTCAACTCCAGAGCCGCCCAGTCAAGACCTTGTGTTACAGCACAGGCCTCGGGGACACGTCTGGGCTACCGGGCTCTGCTCTTGACCCTGCGGGACTTTTGAAAAATGCTGCCTCCGCTGAACCTCAGTGTGTTCACCTGTACAATGGGAGCAACGACGGTCCCCACCTCTCAGGGCGTTGTTGGGTGTCAGTGTTCGTATGAGCACCGTTTGTGAAGGGTTATCCCGTCATCCTCACAACCACCCAGAGGGAAGGACCACTGTCGCCCCAATGGGGGAGGAACGAAACCGAGGGGCCACGGTGGCACGAGAGCAGTCACACCCACTAGGAAAGAGCCCAGCACCCGCCCTGTGCCTGTCACTGTCCCTCTCCCAGTGTCATGAGCCGGGGGTGGGGAGCAGCAGGGAGGAGGCCTGGGCTTAGTGACTCGCGGCAACGGGAAGACAGAAGAAGGTTCTTTTGTTCACGTTGGTGTTCAGCAACATCTGAGGGTTTGAGCCTCAGGCGACGCTGTCCCAGAAACCCCCAGGGAAGCAGTCCCCTGCCCCCCCCCCCCCACTTACCTGCTTTCCCTTTCTTTTCCTGAACACAGAAAAGGGCAGCCCAAGGGGAGACCCCCATCTGCAAGCCCACAGCCAAGGGCGAGCCCACCAGGAGTCCCGAGTTTGTGACCGCCAAGTTCATCAAGCCCCCCTCCCCAATTCCAGGCCTGCCCCAGACCTGCAAAGAACCCGGCAGCCTCTCCGTGCGCGTCTCCCTGCACTCTCCCGCCAGGACCACGGAGAGCACCCGGAGCGTCCCCTCGCAGACCGTGGAGACCGCCCTGGTGCCCTGCGACGCCTGCGCCAGCGTGCAGGGCAGCCTGCGGGAGGTGGGCAGGGCGCTCATCGGCCTGTGTCAGAGCCAGAACCTGCCCTCGTCCTTAGGCCACTTTCAGCAGCTGGTGCAGGACACCATGGGGCTCAAGCCACTGCCGGCTGCCACTGTGGGCCACTGGGCGGCAGAACAGAGCAGAGACCTGGCCCGCCTCAGCAAGCACGTGGGCGCCCTCGCGCAGCTGGTGGGGCCCCTGCGGGCCCAGCTGGAGGAGGCTGAGGCGCAGAAGGGCGGGCTGAGGGAGCAGGTGGGCCAGCTGGAGCAGGCGCTGCAGCAGGAGCAGAGGCAGCGGCGGTGGCAGGCGAACGAGGCCCAGCAGCAGCTGGCCCAGTGGGAGCAGGACAAGCAGCAACTGCTCGCAGGTCTGTGCCCCAGGGGCTGGGCCCTCGTGCCACTTCCTCCGGGGAGCCCTCCCTGCGGGCTCTGCTGCGGCCTGAGCGTGGGCTCTTCCCGTAGCAGACCCTGCAGCGGGGCTCCGGACAAGTAGCTGGGGTGGAAGGAACCCTGGCTGGGGAGTGAGCCCTAGAGCAGGCAGGAAGGCAGCCAAAGAAGTACAGTCATCAGGCCAGTCCCACCCAGGCAACTGGGCCTAAGCCCACTGGGAACACTGGCGCCAGGGCAGAGAGGAGGGGAGGGAGCGGGGCATTCACCCACCTGCTCCTGCTGGTCCCCAAAGTTTGCCCCCCTGGCACCTCTAGCCAGCAGGGTGGCCTCTGGCTTTGGCAAAAGCCATTAGGCAAAGAGACGCAGCCACTGGGAGTCGGCCAGTGCCCGCTACTGGGAGGCCGGAGGGAGGTGGGCAAGTCCCTGGTCTCTCTGAGCCTCGCGTTGCCTCCGTGGAGGACACAGGCCCAGGGAGGTAGGGACGTGGCAGCCAGCCAGCAGGAAGCAGGGCGGACGGGGACCAGGCTTCCTGACCTCCCGGAGCTCACCCTCCACAGGGCGATGGCTGCCACCACTCTCTAGGGGGCGCTGGGCATGCCGGCCACCAGCCAGCATCTGAAGGGAACTCTGAGGGGACTCTCTTGGCTGCACAGAAACAAGTGAGCTCAAGAGGAAGGTGGCCGCCCTGGAGAGGGAGCTGAAGCAGCAGCAGGAGTCCACACAGGCCGTGGGTGAGGAGCCCTCACGTGCCCCGTGCCCCGTGCTCGGTGGTGCAGCACGAGCACCCTCCATCTCTGTCCCCTGGGCTCCTGGGGCAAAGGTGAAGGGAACAGCCGAGGCAGGGGGCCTGAGCGACCACACTGCTGGGCAGTGACCCGGACTGGGGTGCCACTTCTGTTTTCAGAACCCATCTCAGGTGGGGTTCAAGCACCATGTTGTGGCCAAAGACACAGACCCAGGGATGTGCTGTAACACATTCACCCCCGGTCCTATCCTGGGTCCGAGGCAGGGCCGGGACTCGCACCCAGGACTCGCCTGCCCTGTCCTTTCCTGCACCCGCTGCATCCTACAGAGGCAAAGGCCCAGCAGCTGCAGGAGGAGGCCGAGCGCAGGCTGGAGGCCGAGAGGCAGGTGCAGCAGCTGGAGGAGCAGGTGCAGCTGCTGGCCGGGAGGCTGGACGGGGCCAGCCAGCAGATTCGCTGGGCCAGCACAGAGCTGGACAAGGAGAAGGCCCGCGTCGACAGCATGGTCCGCCACCAGGAGGTGAGGCCGGGCTTCGCCAGCGCCCTGGGTGCCTGCGATGTAGGCTTCAGGGAGAGGGCTCCACTGGGGGAGGTGGGGGTTTAGCTGTGTAAGGTACCTCCTCCCTGACACATACCCAGGTGTTGGATTGACTCACCTCTATGGAGGGTCTGAGCCAAGAACTGAGAGAAAGGTGACCCAGGGCAGATACAGCCAAATGAGCCAAGCAGTTGTGCCACCACAGCTCTCCTGCCAGGTGGCTAAGAGGGGCAGGAAAAGTGCTGCAGGGATCCAGGGATGGATAGTCACATCTGTGGTAATCCAGGATGGCTTCTGGGAGGAGGTGGCCTTTGCACTGTACTCCAATTGCTGGTGGTTAGTTCATCCGCAACAGGAAGGATAGGACAGAGGATGAACCAGAGCACAGGATACATCTATGCCCTGAGCAATGGGGTCTTGCAGGAGTCCCCACTGGGGTGCTTTTCTCAGTGCCCTGCAAGAACAGTCACGGTCGCCCACACATCAGGTGGCTTCTGTAAGCCAGGCGCTGGGCCCAGCCTCTGCAGCTCCCTCGTCCTTCCTCCTTCCCACCACAGCAGGTGGCAGGTGCTCATCACCCCCATTTTATGGGTGAAAAAACTGAGACTCGGTGAGATGAAGGCCAACAGTTAGCCAGAGCTCGACCCAGGACTCAGAAATGACGGGCTGGTTCTTTTTGCTTTGCGCTCAGTGGGTGTCAGGAACTGTGGGTTCCAAGTGACATGGGCTGAAGACCTAAGGAAAAGAAGAAAACATTTCCTAAAATTCCTGGGGGGAGGCCGATAGTCAGCCAACTGCTTTCCAGGGGGGCAGGGTCTGCAAACCGGGGGTCTGGCTCTGACCGGGCTGGGATGTGTGTCACCCCTTGCCCTCTTCCCTCTGCCCCTTGCCTTTCACACGTGTGCACAGGCGCACCACCACCACCACCACTACCACACACACACAGACTGACTCCGTTCAAAAGGGAGGGCTGGGGGCAGAGGTCACGGATACTGTAGCCTCCTTAGTCCCACGTGGCTCAGCCGAGCCCCATGGGCCTCACGGCCTCCCTGCCTGCTCAGTCCCTACAGGCCAAGCAGCGAGCCCTGCTGCAGCAGCTGGACAGCCTGGACCAGGAGCGCGAGGAGCTGCGGGGCAGCCTGGACGAGGCCGAGGCCCAGCGGGCCCACATGGAGGAGCAGCTGCAGAGCCTGCAGAGCGAGAGGGAGCAGGGCCAGTGCCAGCTCCAGGCCCAGCAGGTAGGGGCGGGCAGCGGGAGGGGGAGGAGCCCCCAGGTAGCTGGGTGCCTGCAGGCCTGTCCCGTGTCCAGGGAGTAGAAGGGGTGGGTGTTCCCAAGGGAGCCAGGAAGTGTTCCTCGGGCCAGGCCTGAGCCTCCCTCTGTCCCAGGAGCTGCTGCAGAGCCTGAACGGGGAGAAGCAAGGCCTGGAGCAGGCGGCGACAGATCTGCAGCTGACCATCTCGGGGCTGGAACGGGAGCTCGAGGCGCTGAGGGAGCGGGAGCGGCTGCTGGTGGCCTTCCCGGACCTGCACAGGCCCGTCGAGACCCAGATCCAAAGTAAGGGCCCAGGGATGGTGCACAGGGCAGCGGGACACGGGGGTCTGCAACTCCCCAGCTTGTGTAGACGGGGACACGGAAGCCCAGAGGTGAGGTAACTGCCCAGGGTCACACAGGTCTGGCTACCCGTGTAGACTGCTCATTCCCACATGTCAAATGCCAGTCCTTACTCGACTTCCCTGGGCCCCTGTCCGAGCATCTCCCAAACCACACCATGCGGCCTGCGCCGGGGCACAGCCCCAATTGTCCAGGGTCCCGGACCCCATCATCACCCAGGGGTGCTAGGGACCCGTCTCAGCAGAGGACCTGGGTCCTGGTCCGGCCCCTCCAGCCCTTCCTCTAAGCTCCAGGGGTGAATCCATTCACAGAGCCGCCAGGAAGATCCATGCAGTTTAACTGGCCACGATAAGTCGTCATCCTGAGCGCTGACCTATCGCTGCACGCCAGACCCTCTGTTGCCCTCTCCATTGCCCTGGCAGGCAGGGAGCAGCTGCTTTACAAATCCAGGACCAAAGAGGGCAGGCGCTTGCCCCGGAAACTTCAGCCCCAAGCATGACTCCCAGGGTGATGGGGAAGCGCATCCTTGCCAATCCCTGGCTCTTGCCCAAGAGCGGCCGCGTGGCCTTGGGCAATTCGTTGTCTCTCTGGCCTTCCGGAAACGGGCTTGTCTATTTGCTAGGTCTGCACCCAGCTCTCAGCTTCTATAACGTAGCCTCCTAGCAGGTGCGGGTGGGAGGGAGGCCAGGCCTCGGGAGAGGGAGGATGATGGGAGGCCCGTGCAGGACCCTGCCCGGCTCCCCTGTGCCTGCTGGGCCACCGACCACGCCTGCCCTCCGAGGCCCTGTCCTGGCGGGGAGGTCCTAGGTAACCTGTCCCACAGGCTCCGGCAACGTCATGGACGACATGGAGAGGCAGGTGCAGGCCAACGACATCCGCATCCGGGTCCTGCAGGAGGACAACGGGCGGCTCCAGGCCATGCTGTCCAAGATTCGGGAGGTGGCCCAGCAGGGGGGCCTCAAGGTGGGCAGCCTGGGCCCTCACCTGCGAGCCCACCCTGGGAACCTGTTGAGAGCCCCCTGACGCAGGCGGCTCTAGGCTCCTGCTGGGAACATCCGTGTGTGAAGATGGGAGGCTGTCACAGGGCCTCTAGCTCCAGGTCCTCCCCGCCGGCCCTTCATACTCTTACTCCAAGTGCAGCCAGGAGCCTAATCAGAAAGCAAACCTCCCCACCCTTCCTAGCCGGCCCTGGAGGCTTCCCAAGCCCTGCCCCTCAGAGGCACAGCCATGGGCACAGGCCCGGGCCCTCCCTCGCCCTCTCAGGCTGTGCCACCCTCTGAGCAGGGGAGGGGGCCTGGGTCTTTCCGAGCTTGGCTCTCTTTGCAGCTGATCCCGCAGGACCAGCTCTGGGCCCGTTCCAGCCAGGGAATCCAGGGAGCAGCACCCCCCGTCCAGGCCCAGAGAGTGTCCTCAGGGTGAGTGAGGCTTTGCCAGAGGTGGGGCTGATGGGCGGGGCGGGGCTGGGCCCTCTTGCTCACAGGGGCTCGTGCCATCTGGTCCTCCTCAGGCTGCTGGGCAGGTGGCACTCACCTGGCAGCAGGGCAGCCAGCGCGGGCAGGATCCTGCCGGGCCCGCGCCGGGCGTCGCCATCTCCGCAGTCCTGCGGCCGATCCAGCAAGTCCCCCCTGGAGGATGTGACCTACTCCACCACCTGTGCCCAGAACCCCATCCAGGTCTTGGCCAGGCTGAGGAGGAGAATGTCACCGAGCCGGGGGCCGGCCAGCCCTGCACACCAGCTCCAGGAGCCGCCCATGTAGCCTGCAGTGGGTGGGGCTAAAGGACGGGTAGCTGGCAACCCCCCCAACGTAATAAAGCCACACCATCTACCCACAGCGACCTGGGGCTCACAGCACTGTCTGAGCCGGGGCAGAGCCTTCCTTCCCCGTCCTGGGCAGGGACCACCGAGTCCCCCGCCATGGAGATCAGCGCCAGCAGAGGCCGGGTGCACCGTGGGACCTCAGTGAAGGGAGCTCCCGACAGGCAGTGGGAGAAGAGGGCTCACCGAGGGCAGAAAGAAGCTCCTGGCACCCGGGCCAGGTGACAGGCAGTCGTTTGACCCCCATACCAAGGGCCAAAGGGGGCGCAGTGACACCCCAGAAAAGGGCAGAGTCAGTGGAGGGGGTGTGCAGGATGGAGAGCAGCTGGAGGTGGGTCCACTGGGGGTACGTGAGCTAAGAAAGGAGTCTGAGGCTGGGGTCCCTGCTCTGGACTCGGCAGGGGGCAGTGATGCCTTCCCTAGCCCCAGGTCTGAACTTGGGGCCTCCCAGCCTGGCTCTGAGGACATTCAGGACCCCTTTCTTTGAGGAGTCCCTTCAGGAAATGTAAGTCACAAAGGGTTTCTCTAAAGCCAGGAGACTGGATCCCCAGGAGGCCACTGAAAGCTGGGCAGGGCCCCACCCAGCCAGAGATCGGGGCCTCCAGCCAGCCCTGGCTCTCCCAGGCCTAACCCTCACAGCCCGGCACTGGTGCCAGCAGCCAGGCCAGGCCCATTGCAGTCCAATTTCCTCAGGGCCTCCAGCCTGCCCTGAGCCACGACGGTGAGGGACAGGCCCTGAGACCTGAGGGCTTAGGGTGGGTGCCCCCAGCTCCCTGACATTTTCCCCGGTGAGGAGGCCAACAGGTGGAGCACCCCGTTTACAGAAAAGTGTCCAGAGGGGCCACGTGTGTAGCTGAGCTGGCATGACCAGGGGCTGTCCAGCTGCTGCTGTTGAGCCCGGCGTCCCTGAGGGAGGCTGGGGGCTCCCTGAGGCCGGAGGCCCAGGCCCAGGTGCAGGGAAAGGACATCACAGCTCAGCCCCTCTGCATCCTCAGCTCCCAGCTCCGTGGTTCACAAGGTCTGGCCGGGGTGGCGGGGTTCTCTGCTCAGGGTCTTCGAAGCTGAGATCAAAGTGTCTGCCAGGCTGCGTTCCGTCCAATGGCTCCGGGGAAGCATGCAGGCTCCTCCGGTCCTGGCAGAATGCTGCCCCTGCAGCTGTGTGGCCGACGGCTGTCCGCGGGGCTGCACAGCTCAGAGGCGGCGGCCCTCCTTGCCGCGTGGCCCCTCCGTCTCCAAGTCAGCAGCAGAGAATTCCTCGCGTGGTTGGGTGAAGCCCACCTGGATCTGTCCCTCTCGGGGTGCCCCCAGCTCCCTGACATTCATCACGGAGTCAAAGCCATGCGAGCCCTAGTTCCCGGACTGTGCAGGCGTGTTCCTGGGGCCGTCTTACAGCCCACCTACCTCCCTTAGGCAGTAGAGCCCGAGGTTTGCTTTTTCAATCTTAAAACATCCACGCACATTTTATTTCTTACGTTAAAATATATCCTTGTTTATTTTCATAGTAAACCACCTCCCCTCCCCCAAGTCTTCTAAAAAACGGACGCCCCGGAAGATGCACCACATTTGTCCGGGGCTTCCAGTGTCCTGGGCAGTGACCGTCGCCCCCCCGAGCAGCACGGAACTGGACGGTTTCTGCGGTCTCTGGTCTCCCCAGGCAGGAGGGACGCCCCTGGATGGCCAGGAGCCCTTGGCTCCCAGTGTCCAAGGCCCGCGGGCAGGAGGCCCCTGGGTTTCACATCCAGCCTTGACCAAGATGTGTCCTGAAAGATGGTCTGGCCAGGGTGCCCCCAAGACCAGACAGCTGCTCCCTGACCCACCCCCCAATAAATAAGCACAAAAGTGGCCACTACAGCCTTGGCCTTGGGGTGTCCTGACGGGCAGGCAGAGCTCCCACCGCCCTCACCTCTCCCCAGGCCCGGGGGCTGCCTGCAAGAAGGCAGACACCCCAGGACTGTACACAAAGGTCCCAAAGGGGCCTCTCTCCCTCACTTCCCAGCAGGTCTGGGCCCGGCACCCTCAGCCTGGGGGCAGTGGATGTGGGGGGGTGCCTTGCTCAGCAGGGAAGGTCCCATCTTTCCTCCCACCCTCAGGGTTTCCTGTCCTGCCCAGGCAGAGGGCCAGAGTGCAGGTTGGGGTGGGGGGCATCTCCCTGTGCAGAGCGCCAGCTGGGGCAGCTAATCCTCTGAGTAGCGGTTCCCTGCAGGGAGGAGGGGAGAACAGGGAGGGCGGCGTCAGGTGGGGACCAGGTGGGACCAGCCAAGGGCCCCACCCGTGATGCTCACCCAGGACGTTGAACTTGCACAGTGGGCAGGTCTGCTGGAGCATCAGCCAGGGGTCCACGCAGTCCCGGTGAAACTCATGCTTACAGGGCAGCACCCGGAGCCACTGAGGGGAGGGGAGGAAGGGCTCAGGCCACAGCTGCAGGCCTCCAGGGGGTGCCGGCCCCTGTCCTCACCCAGGCTGGGGAACTGAAACCCCAGGGCCCTGCCACCCCCATCCTGCTTTCCACGGTGCTGGTGGGGGTGGTTCCCAGGTCTCGGGGGGAGCGGGGGAGTCACAGGTCAGTGGGTGGCGGGCCTCTGCCGGGGCCTCACCTGCTTGTTGCAGAAATGGTCCAAGCACACGGCGCAGGTCTCCGCGCCCGGCTCCGGGGGGCCCTGCGCCGCCCTGCCCAGCCTGCAGCGCCGCGTCTTGAGGGACGCCAGCCTGCGCACCACGCGGCGCTTGAGCAGGTCCACCTGGGGGGAAGGACGCGCACCGTTGGGCAGGGCCGCGGGCTGGGGGCCCCGGACTCCCTGGGCTGGCTCCCACCTGGCCTCCGGGCTCCTGCTGGCTGTGCCGGGACGCCTGCCGCTGGGCCTGCACCACGAGGCCTGTGCACAGCAGCATGGCCACCAGCAGGATGGCGTTCCACAGCTGCTGCAGGGGCTTCTGGGGAGGGAGCAGGGTGTCAGGGACACAGAGCGGGGGGGTCCCCGGGTGGGCCCTCTTCCCCCAGTAAATCCACCCCAGGGACCAGGCAGGTACGGTCCCTCAGCACGGCTCCTGGCTCCCTCTCCTGAGGCCTCTGTCCCAGGGTCTGCCCGGCTGTCTGCTCCGTCCCACACATGAGGGACCCTCACTGTCCCCAGCCCAGGCCCCTCCTGAGCAGCTAACCCGTGCAAGTGTCTACCTGGCCAGGACTCCCCACCCCACCCCTAACCTGCACTGCTGCTCTGCTTTCTGGCGCCATCACCACCCACCTCTGTCCGGGCTGAGCATTCACACCCCTCGACAGGGCGCCAGTCCCCGGGGCTGTGGCCTCCCTCTCCTTGGGTTCCATGTCCCCTCTCTCCAGCCCACCCCTCTACTGCTCCAGCCTCCCCCACCGTTTCCTGCCACAGCCGCAGACCTGGTCACCCCACTCCCCTCCTGGACACCCTCCCCGAGGCCCGTCCCTGCGTCCAGGAGAAACCCAAACCCCTCACTCAGCCTGCCTCCTCCAGGCCCTCAACTCCGCAGCCCCTCCCCCTGCTGTGTCCCTCGCTCCCCTCCTCCTCTTGTGCCTTCCACACACTGCTCCCCTCTAGGGAGCCCCTTCCTCCTTGACCCATCCCTGGGCTACTTGCTCTGGAAGCTCTGCCTGACCAGGGCTGGGCCAGTGCTCCCCCCGCCTCGCCTGCCCAGCTCGCACACCTACTCTGCATGGTGCTTCCTGGCTGCTGCCTGACAGAGGGAGGAAACCCTGTGTGACCCGCCTCACTGAGTCTGAGCGGCTCCTGGGGTGGGGGAGCTCAGAGTTCCCGGGCAGGGAGGGGGGGGGTCTTCACGCCCTGAGACTCCCACCACATGCAGTGTGGCAGCCAGGCTCTGACTACTGAGCAGCGGGCTCAGGAAATGAGGCGACATCGCACACCAGACCCAGCCTGCCCCCCAGGCGGGCACACCTCGCCCACACGGGCACCGTCTCACAGGGCCTGTGGGTGTGTGATGACTAATAATAAACACGGTCACTTCAAAGCTCTCTGCGCTCTTAGCTCTCTGCCACCATGTTCTTCCCCAGCCAATGCTGAAGTTCAACGGCCATCACGGGGGGGAAAGGGGCCGAGGAACTGTCTGTGGTAACAGAAGCCTCCACGCTAGACAGACGGTGCTGCCAGGGTCGTAAGACGCTGCTTTTGCTCAGGGCAGAGGCACTGGGGGGGCCGCTGCACGGGCACCTGTAAGTCCCAGTTCCCCGCTGTCCTGCCCTTTCCTCCCGGTTTCTGTGTCCCCGTCACCCCGTCCCTGTGGTGGGGTGGTGGCACCTGCTCCAGGGAGCTCTCCCACACGCCTCAGTGAAGCTCAGGTGCCCTCGCTGTGCCCAGGAGGGCCCGTGCCCACCAGCAGCTCAGCACTCACCCCACAGAGACCGTCTCTGGCCTCTGCTCCCTGGATGGGACCCCGGGAGCCGGGCTGGCGCTGCCCTGCGGCCGTGCCCCCTGCCACGCTGACTAGGCTGGCACGTGGCAGGACTCACTGAGTGGCCATTAAAGTGTAAGCTCTCCGGGCAGAACCTGGGTCCCCGTGGGCTGAAGGCGTGGCTGGCCCGGAGCTCTGCTGCAGGCCCACCACCCAGCCCCCCCAGGCCCAGTGCATGTGGGAACCTCCAGGTGAAGAGGGAAGGCGGGGCTGGGGCTTGGCCATCGGACTTTCTGATACACAGGGGCTGCAGCTCTGACTCCCAGGGGTGGAGGGGAGGCGCCTCCCACCCTGGCCAGCAATATGGCTGCTCAGCTGTGCCCTCTGTACCAGCCAGACCGAACTGCAGGCTGTTTTCCCACCTCCAGGCCCCTTGGACCCGCTCCCAGCCTGCCTCTCTCCGAGCTCTAGCCTTTGTGCCCAAACTTCTTCCGGACTCTCACTGACAGCCCCGCCCCCCAATACCTGCCTCCCCCGCCAGATCTGTGTAGGCTGCCCTCCAGGGGAGACCCAGGGGGCTCCCTCCTCTTCCAGAAAGCCCTTCCACCCCCCGCATCAGGGCCTGCTTCCTCCGCAGAAGTGTGCTTCTTCGTGTTGCTCAAACGTGAATTAGTCTGGGCTGCCACGGCCGCCTCTGGGTCAGAGTCCCCTCCCCACTTGTCTTTGAGCCCTTCAAGGGCAGAGCCCAGGCCTCACAGCCTTTTGTACCCACCACAGCCCTTTGCATAGAGCCCCAACTGCCCTAGGATCTCAAAAGCTACTTGGTGACTCTTGACTCGAACGCTTGTAACAATAAAGATATTCCAAGTGGCGGCAGCAGCCCGTTTGCTCAGCGCCCACCATGCACTTCATGCACACAGTGCCCTGCCGATCCCGTGGCCCCGTGCCGTCCTTGTTCACAAACGAGGAGCACGAGGCCAGAGAGGTTAAGCACGCAGCCCGCGGCCACTCAGCTAAGATTTCAGAGCCAGGACCTGAACCTACGTCCGCCCGACTTGAAGCTGCCTCGCACGGCCCACATCCCACGAGACTGGGGCCTGCTCTGCGCAGACAGGGACCTGAGAAATGCCTGCAGGCAGAACCCCTCAGAACCCTCTCGACGCTGAGCACTGGGGAATCCAGAGAAAATCCGACGTAGCCCAGCCTCCAGGAGACACGGCCTGGGTGTGGTCCTACCCGAGCCTCCTCGCCCCACACTCACCTGCTCCTGGGCCCGGCTGCCTCCCAGGCACACCAGGTCCTGCCACCCTCCGTAGCCATCCTTGGAGAGGCCGCAGGTGGTCCACAGGGTCAGCTTCCACTCGATGTTGGCCGACAGGGACGCTCCACTCGTGATCTCAGCTGTGGCCTGGGTCCTCCTGGGAGGGGAAGCC